TCAACTTTTATACCTCTGATGTTGATGAAATTTTATGCAATGTTTTTCCCTTTTAAGCCTAAAAACATTAAGATGGCATGCTTTTATGGATTATCTATTCTAGTTCCTTAATCTGCCTAGTATTATGTAAGTTATGGAATGAATCGATATACTTTCCCCCAAATATGGCACCCTTTATTGAGTGCTTTCTTTTACATACCTATGAATACCAAATATATATGTGGGTATTCTTACCATCTCCCCTCCCCAATCCCAGAATGTGTATGCTGTCAAATCTTTTTATGTACACATTTACTCAAATATTTTTAATATACACATGTACCATGCATTTACTTTATCTTGACAAAGGTAACACATTGCTGTGTACCTTTTCTCACTTTATCATGGACCTCCGTCTCCACATACCTAGGCTCATGCTTTTTAATATCTACATCATTCTATAATCTCTAGATACCATAATTTAACCCCTCCCATATTAATGAACATTCAGATCAGTGTACAGATACTAGGGCATTAGGAAGTGGGAACTGTTCAAAGGATTTCCTGGTTTATCTTTGGTACTATTAAGAGGCAAATTAATTTGTAAATAACCACTTTAATTTGAACCCCCAGCAAAAAATGTGAAAGCTCATTCACCTACACCTTCAGCAATACTGGATTAACTTTTATAAAAATTTTTTGGGGGGGGGGGGCTAATCCAGCATGTAATAAGGTATTTTATGTCAATTTATGTGATATTGAGCTTTTCATATTATCTTTGTTATGTGAATATTTTTGTCCCCCTTTCTACTAGGTTTTTTATTCTTAATAATTACTAAGTGTTTTTTGGTATGTTGGAAATACTTTATCCAATTGTCAATGTGTCAACCTTTTCCTTTGTGAACTTTGGCATTTTTGTGATGCCTAGGGAAAATGCTCCCCCCAAAGTGGTCTAAAATAACTTCCTGTATTTCTTGGTATTTTTAGTTTATTCCAAATATGTAACTCATTTTCCTAATATTAATTATTAAAGAGCCCACCCTTTCCCCACTGATTTGATATGCTATTTTATTATATTCTAAATTCCTAGAGGTATATGGGTCTCTTTTAAGGTCCTCTCTTCCCAATGATTTTTGATTATTCAATTTTTAAAGGTATCAATGTTTCCAGGTAATCTGTTCTGTCACAGCAATACATCTGTTCTCACACCAATATCACATTGGTTTACTTATCATAGTTCAAAGCCATAAATGATGCCATAGAGTAATATTTGTAAATGGGTTCCAAAGATCTTCCATGCTGCATTAGTTGAAGTAGCAAAACACTGGAGTCAACCTAAAGGACTATCAATAAGGATTTGGTAAAATAAAATGCGGTTTATCCATAATAGGGAGTATCATGCTAGTTAAAGGAATGCCATTGTGTAAGGAATAGAATTCTATGAATGGACATGAAGACATCCCATACAATTTGATTAAACACACCAAGTTGCAAAATAGTACCTATATAGTGTGATAGCATATTTATGTAAAAAACCACAAAACAATATTTTATGTATTTCCATTCACATTTTTTAAACAGGTACATAACTTAGAGATCTAAAATAAAATAAAGCTGATAATAATGGTTAACTGGGGAAGAGTAAGACAATTGGGGTGGTAAGAAAAGGAAACCTGAGCCTACTCTGTAATATCTAAATTTTTTATATTACAAAGAGATCAATCAATTATATAACAAATTTATACTGAAATATACATATTTAAAACCCACAATGATTTTATGACCTATTCTTATCCACGGATTTCACTACAGCTGGACTTTGCAGCTAATTATCATGGTGTACAGTACTCTTTGTGAGCATACCATTCAAACTGGTTTCCCTCCCTCCTTCTAAAGTCCGGTACATACTCTAAAGCCCAGGTCAAGGTCCTTTTTCTCCTTGAGGCTTTCTCCATTTCAGGTTACCCTGCTCTTGCCTTCTCTGAGCTCCTCCTATTGGCCTAACAGGCCATCTCTCTTCCTTTAGCCCTTCATCACTCTCAAATGGCCTCCTTTAAACGTTTTGTGCCTACCCATCTACTGCACATTTTCCACCAGGTAGCGCCCTCCTCTGCAACCTAGCTTTCAGAAGAGAGAAGAGAGGAGAAAAAAAGGAAAATATAGTGATTCCATGGGAAAATGAAGCTGTTAAGACTGAAAAAACTTCCTTCACCTCCTCATGCCAAGTGATGGGACATCCAGGAATGCAGACTCCAAATGCTAACATTTTTGTGTATGGGTGTGTCACAAATGAGTGTGAACAACATCTCCTACAGTTTGTTGGAATAGATCTTTAAATGCACCTGTATGTCAGTTACATTTATATCAATTCTTTCTTCTGGACCTTGGGACTACTTTATGTGTAACATGTTTTTGAGTCTGAAATGAAGGAGAAATAATATAAAAGCTGCTAGAAGACTGAATATGGTTATGATTTTCTGTTTAAATTTATAGATCCTCAAAATTTCTTTATCAATATACTCAATATTCTTTCTAGATTGTTAGGACAAGTTATAATTTCAGAATTCAGTTCTAGTGGTAACTGCTGCTTCTGGAAAATCAGGAGAGAAACCAAGAGTATTAATTTTTTCACAATTAAAAAAAGAAGTGTCCACTGCTTTTATTAGTGTACCAGAAGGACTGATAGAACCATAATTATTAAAGCAAACACTCATATGTCAAGCACTGCCCTGATACTCTATATGTAATCCCCTTAACAATCCTATGAAGTAGGAACTATTACTATCTTTATATTACTTTTGAGGTAATTTAGAAACAAAGCGAGTAAATATTTCGCCTAGGATCACACAGTTAAGTGGCAGAGCCAGGATTTAAATTGGGAAGTCTAGTATTTGCATTTAACCACTAAATTCTGCTGCCACAAGGTAAGAAAAAAATAATACATGAATATATGGGACTGACTATCAGGGATCAATTGTAGTATCTTTCATTAAGGAATATAAGATTACACAGTCCTTTGCTTTTTGGGCACTTTCTGTACTGGAAGCACCAATGGACTCAGGTCCATCCTTTTGCTCTTAGAATTTAGAGTGCTTTCCCAGATACACACTTATTAATCTTTAAAATATTCCTGGACAGTAAAGAATGGACAGTAATGTGGAATTATCTTGTTTGAGAACTGAGGCCAGGGCAAGGGAGGTACTTACCCAATATTCTGTAATCAGGATCAGATCTTCTGATCCTTATTATACAGCAAACTTAGCTTTTCTGATAGTGGCCTAGAAGGTCAAACAAGGGGACAGGAAAGAACAGAAAATAAAGGTATGAGATGATGGTCTAGTCCTCCATCAAGCTTTGCATTTTATCACACACAAAGGACACCAAAGCTGATCAAGTACATGTGTTTCTTTTCCCTTTTTTGTGGTTACATTTCCAAATTTACTTTATTGTACATTTACCCTGATTTTTGATAAAGTAATTTGCTTGGCCTTTTTAAAACTTATTAGTGAAAATTTCAAATGGATAAAAATGTAGAGGGAATATCACAAACCCATAAGAACATCATCCAGCTTCAACAATTACCAACTGAAGGCCATCTTGTTTCATCCATAACCCCACCCACTGCTCCCCCTAACTCCTATTTTTTAAAATAACTGACTTTCTGTATTTTACTGTGGAAAATTTCAAACATATACCAAATAATATATAATAATATAAGAAACTCTATATGCCCATCACTCAGCTTATGCAATTATTAACTTAGGACCAATCTTGTTTCACCTATGCCCTTTCCTTACTTTCCCCTATTGCTGAGATTATTTTGAAAAAAATCTTAGTCATCAACGTATTTTGAAGCCAATTCCACACATTTTACTATTTAATCTGTATTCTCCTATGTTTCTATAAGAGAAAGACCATTTGGAAACATAACCACAATACCATTATAACGTCTAAAAAATCGACATCAATTCCTTAAAAACACATCAAATAGCAAATCCATCTTCAAATTTTCTTGATGCATTTTAGGCAGTTTTTCTTTTTCTGTTGTTGTGTTCGAATCAGGATCCAAACAAGGCCTACTCCGCATGTGGTTCATCTCCATCCAGCTCGCTCTCCTCCATATCTTCCTACCCCTCCCCCATTTTTTAAACTTTTCAATATGGAATATTCCAATCCCCGCTATTTGAGGTAATTTCCCAAATAGCATACTATTCCATCAGTAAATATTGATACGCCTCATATCTCTAATTTCTTCTAGGAAAGAAGCTGATGTACAGGAAAAGCACTATAATGAACTAATTTACATAATTTATGTTTTTTCTCATTCTGTTACGCGGGTTTTTCTCGCCGCAATAACAGCTAATATTTTTCAGAGCTAGGCTTCCTATTAAATGCCTTATACGCACTAATATACAGTACACGCCTCTAAAGTAGGCGTCTCTGAGGTAGATACTTATTATTAACACCATCTTACAAACATGGAAACCGAGACACACTGAGAACAGGAGCCAGCCCGAGCTGGGCGTTGGCGTAGGAACCTAAATTCAGCTCTGCCCGATTGTGAAGCCATTAGTTAATCTTTTCTACATACGCGCTGAGAAAAAGAAATCGTCAACCTTTTCTCCCCACCCCCACCCCGAAACCTGAAACGAGAATCCAGTTCATTCCAGCAGCCGACGTGTGATCACTGCCGTCCCTCGAACAGCCATAGTAAAGCCAGGTTTCTCTGGCAACTGATATCCATAGGCAGACACGTCACCCAGGAGGCGGGCTTATGTCCTTCATCCAATCACAATCATCTTGTCTAAGTTTTAGAATGTTCCATAACTGAATGATTGGATGAGGCCCATCACGTCACAATGACATTTCGCCGCAGTAAAGGGGAGGTGCTAACGACCCGCTTCTTCACGGTTAAGGCTTGAAGCAAACCAATCGTCTTCCTCCTTTAGTGCGGACTCTGGCCAATGACTTTCGTTCTCTTAGGATCTTATCCCACCCCCCAAAAGCGCGACAGTCTTTGGGTCATATGTCTATAGGGCAGGGTGTTCACGTGGTCTATTTTTACGACCCAGAGTTCCCCTGAGCAGAGGTTTTTCTTTTTTTTTTTTTCCCTGCAGGGAGGCATTATGGGTTCCCCCCCAACCCCTCACTGGGAAAGGAAGTGTCTACGTGGCCTATAGAAACAGATGGGCGGAAATGAGCTAAATTTCCCGAGAATGGGGAAGTGCGAGGTCAAGTCGGAGGCCAGATCCTTGAACCACTTGCGCAACCCTTGGAGGAAAATAAAGTCGGAGTAGGAGTTTTGGTATGTGGGTGAGTGGCAGTGCCAGGTGCTTTGGGCGCGTGGAGGTGGGGCCAGTGTGGGTGTGCGCGTGCGAGCTTGCGTGGCTTTGGGGTTCGGGGATTTTGCGCCCGGGCGCGCGCACTAACCCTCAGGGCACAGGAGGTGGTGGGTGTGCGCAGGCGTGCGCCGCTGGTGTTGGGGGCGAGGGCGTGCGTTTGCTCGCTCGCTCGCTCTATGGGGAGTGTTCTGTGCTTTTATGTTTGGTATTTGTTCTAATGGAAAGGAAAATAAGCCAAGGTGATCATTTCAGAAATAAAGGGCCTTTGGTAGAAATATTTCCATCTCCTCTACTTAATTTAATTATAGACCCTGAGAATACAGTTTCTTCCCCGCGTTCGTACCCATGCCACAATGTTGTACAAAGCCATAGCCTCCCGATGGTTAAGAGCCAAAACCTCGCATGCACATATTAGCAATTCAAGGAGCAGCTTCTTTCCTGTTCCCTACTATCTTCCCCTTCTTTTCTACAGTGCTCCCCTCACCCCTTGGCCTTCCAGCAAAGTTGTGAGCACTTCTGGCACAAACAGAATTTTGTGCTGAGAATATCTATATATGACAGCCTTCCATTCCACTGTAGTCTTCGAATTCCTGAGGGCCTAAAGCTGGCCTACCTTTTTACCTTGATCTTCAAGCACAGTGTCCTTCACACAACTACGCACGCAGTTAATTTTCCAGAAAGTTCTGAGTGAAGTTTATACCTCTTAAGTCAGCCACCAGATGCCGCCAAATCCCAGCAAAGGATTGGCTGTTAGGTCCCTGGAATGATGGGATTTTTCTCCCCTCTTCTATTTGCCGAATTTTCCAATCTATAGGGAGATCTATATCTATATCTATCTATCTATATAAAATCTTTCATTGCTAGGGAAAATAAAATTAACTCTATAAATATGCATACCAGGCAGGGGACTATGCCCTAGATCCAAATGTTTGTCTTGGTTTCTTTCCTTCGTTAAAAAAAAGAACCCTACCTCCACACCTCTCTTCTTTCTTCCTTGCCATTTTTAGCGGGGCGGGGAAGTAGTGGTGGTGGTGGTGGTGGTGTGGTCAGAATTGATGAATGACCCCAGGCACTGATGCTAATGAAAATCTTAACCCTTTCTGTGCAGCTTTTCAAATGTTCATCACCGCCCCCCCAACAAAAAAAATGGAAAATACAGATGACTGGTCCCTAAAAGCAGATAAGAATTTGGATCCTGGTATTGAAAAGTGATTTTTTTCCTCTTAAAATTTTTATTAGATATATGTGTTTACACCCTATTTTCTGTAGTGATATTGCTAAACTTTATTATGTCTTTGGAATCAGGTACCAGATTTTAAACCCCATAGCACCATTTATAAGCTCTGACACCCTGGGCGACACCCTGGGCAAGTGATTTATGTTCTGTGATCCTTAGTTTTTTGCATGCTTTATGCATTTTAGGTGCTGTGTCATTTTGTTGTTACTCACAAAATTATCATTAGATGGGTACTAATAAATTAAAATTAAATGACAAAAGTTATATATTAGTTATCAATTACATATGCCTGCGTGTGTGAGTGTACAAACACACTGGGGAGGGGCATGGGAATTAGAGCAGTGGTACTTAAAGTGTGCTTTCCAGACACCTCAGTAACATCATTATCACTTTTCAGGAAGTTGTCAGATTTATATTCTTAGGCCCTACCTCAAAAGAAATTCTAGGGGTAAGGTTTGGGCATGCTATAACAAACTGTTCTGGTTATTCTAATGCACACTGGAGTTAAAACCACTGCTTTGGAGGGCAGAGATGCAATACTTTTTTTTTTTTACTCCACCAGAGGGTGCTACTGAATTTAAAGCAAAGTAAAAGATGTATGAGGTTTGTCCAGAAGGTATCCAGCCATGTTCTATGAAAAATACAGACATTTATTGAAGAAGATACCAGATACACTGTGCATAGGATAATGATGCCTCAGTCTCCTTCAAAGTAGGCACCTTGGGACCTCACACAGTTCTCCCAATCACTGTCAGCTGCCCCATCATATTTTCCTGAAACCCATCGATGGTCTGAAATCTCTTCCCTTTCAACGGTGATTTTAGTTTTGGGAAAAGCTAGAAGTCATAGGGCCCAAAATCTGGGCTGTAGGGAGACTGAGTAACCTGGGCAATTTGATGTTTTGCCAAAAAACTGCATGGCACATTATACATGAGCAGGCACATTTTCATGATGAAGCTGCCAATCACCAGTTTCCCATACCTGTGGCTTTCTGAATCATCCAAGTAGTTCCTGTGGAGGAATGTTCAAGCACAATGCAAAACTTGATGCAGATTCATTGCTCTATTCACTCAGTCATTTTGAATGTTATGGTCCTACAGTACATATGCTCACTCAACAGCATCTACTGCCCCTAGTGATTAGTACAGTAAAGTCATCATTGTTCATACAGGTGCATTCCAGTCCACTCTCCTTGGCTGCCAGGTTACATCAGTGTTGCACAAACCATCCTCTTTATATGACTAGACTTTTTCTGGACAGACTTTGCATATGCTTTATTGAGACATCCTGAATATTGTCAGTCCTGTCTGTACAGATTAAAAACTAATGTATAGAGGTGTCAAATTATTTTCTCAGTGCATACAAATATGGACACCAGGATATAAATTGTACCTACATCTAGAGTGCAAGTCCTTGACAGTACTCTGGTTCAGCAATAGTAGCTTATCATTCTGGGCCTCAAAATACATTGCAGATAGCTTGTTCCCTGATTTAGCTAATGTTGACTAGAATGTCAAGAAGAGGGCAGGAAAGCAAACTAAATAAATGGAAATATTTTGATGATTTCATTCCCTCCCTCATCTCCATTCTATATTGCTCTTTCTATCCTGCAGTTATATTTTGTTTAGTTTATATCTGAACCTCTTCTATGTGTGTGGGGATATTTAGAGTGGAGAGGAAACACAGTTTTTGGAAGCCTGTTTGTTACAGGCCACATTCTATATGGCTCCACACCCATTAATCCCAACAATGGGCCCGTAAATTAGCTGACAATTAATCATCATTTTGTACATGATGAAAATGGATTCTAGAGACTGTAATTATTTCTCTTTGGTCATATAACTTGTAAGTAGTGGAGCCTGGATAATTTCTGATATACCTGACAATACCACCCTGCTAAACTTTCTACTGCTTGGTTTTGAATCTAGTATAGTTGCTTACTGTTTATGTGACTTTCAGCAAGTTACTTTTAACTTTCCCAAGCCTTAGTCACTGTATACTAAGTGAGAATAATTATTCCTCCTTTATAGTCTCAGAGCTGCAGTATTCAATATGGTAGCCACTAGACATGTGCTTAATTAAATTTGAGTTAGTTAAAATTAAAAATTCAGTTCCTCAGTCGAACTAACCACATTTCAAGGGCTCAGCAGCTACTTATGGCTAGTATTAGTATTGTTGGGGGCCAAGGCAGGCCTCCCCAAGATATCCCACAATGACATATTGATTATTAAGAATTAAAATCACTTGAGAAGTGGGAGGAGCTCTCTGACTCTCCTCTGTCTCTCTAAAAGCAGGAAATTAATCTCCATGTGATGGGTGCCGTCCACCTGAGGAGTAAGAGACAACCTTATCACAAGAGTTATAAAATCCAGAGTCAAAAAAGCCTATATAAACAAACCTTGTGAAGGTTTTACTAATTTACTACCTATGCCCAAACCTTGCTTAAATTCCTTTCTAATGAGCACTAACTTTGTCGTGTCAATTGTTCACAAATTTATTGCTTCTTTATCTAAAAAAGTATAAAGGTGCCTAGTTTGATTGTTTTTTGAACATCATTTTATGATCTGAGCATCATAATGTGATTCTTCCATGTGCGTGTATTAAATTGTTTTTTCTCCTGTTAATCTAGTCTTGTGTCAGTTTTATTATTTTATTATTGGTCCAGCTATGAGAACTAAAGAAGGGTAAAAGTGGATAATTCTTCCCTTCCCCAATAATACTGTATTAGATACCAATAGATACAGAACACTCCTATGATTACAGAAAATTATAAGGGACAGTGCTGGTTTAGAATATGTAAGCTATATAAAAGGTCCAAAGCATACTGCATATTAATGGCAAGTACCCAAGAAAAGTGATTTCCTGTTCTTTCCTTTCATCATCAGAGCTAAGCATGTTCTCTTGTTTTATTATTGAGGGGATCAGGAGATGGAAGTAACTTACTCAATATACTGTAACAGGGGATGTGTCTGGCATTAGGACCCACACTGAGACCCACATCTGACTTTTGCTCCTATATTCTGTTTAGTAGACTCATCCTTATGCTCTACTGAGTGAGGTGTCAAGGCCAAGGGTGTTAATAATGTGAATTAACTTTGGAGTCAGGGTAGTAGCAGAAAAAGACATAAAAACTGAACATCTTCCATGTGCCAGGAAACACTGCTCAGCTCTTTACATCTATTGTCTTAGTGAATCCTCTGAAACCCAGAGGAGTTCAAAACTCCAAGTTGCCAGCTGGTAAATGTCAGAACAAAGATTCTAACTTTTCTCAGCCTCCAAAGCCCATGTTTTTCTCATTATGCCATGCTACCCTCACACATGTGAATACTCTTCTATCCCTTCCACTTACTGTGGGCTAAAGTTTCAGCACATTCCTGACTCTAAGTGGGTCCTCAGAAAATGGGAGTCACTGTTCTTTTGGAAATTACAGCAGAACCACCATCTTTACAATGTTTCAAATTGAAGGGAAAGATTGCTTAGGTCAACGTTAGTTTGGCTTCAAGGCCCAAAGTTAGACAAAGATTATGGCTCCAGCCTTCCCAGGACACCCAATGGCTCCAAGGTGCCTTTGTGCTGACAAGAAACATGTGCCACCTGGGGGAAGACAATTTGCAAAGTGTCCACTCAAATGGAACAATGAGAAAAATCCTTTTCTTTCTCAGGGATCTTACAGTTTCATCAGGAGAGGTGAAGAATGAATTTCAGCCTCCAGTTGTTCCCTCTCAGTTAGGTAACCTCATACAGGGTGCAACATGCCCTGCCCAACTGTGTCTGCCGATCTTGCTTATCTTGTGGCTAAGAGAGTCTTCCTAGGTCTGGTAAGTAGTAGTCAGCCTGTTCTGGAGGATGGAGAGAGACATTAGTGTCCTTCCATGGCTTCTGGGTATTAGATAAAACTGCTCCATTCTAAGGTCAATTTGATATTTTTTCATTTGGTTCTGACTAACGTATTGGATTTTTTTTCGAGAATATTTGGTTAATTTAAAAGTTAAGAAATCCTAACATTTCAAAGCTAAGCAAAATGCTATTTCTTTAATAACAGTGCTTTTATCTGTATTTATACATGCTTCATTCCATAAGGATTTCATAGGGCAAAAGATAGAAATACTCATGTGAAAGTTTTATATCCTTTTAGGAGTTTCTATTCTCTTCTAGGCCCTTTCTCCACCTGTAATCAACCCCTTTCCCACTCTTCTCCAACTGACCCACCTTCAAATAGGTTACTTCAAATCACTGGGAACCTTAATCTAATGAACGTAGACCTTGGGATGCCAGACTTGCACATAATCCCTTGGTTTCCCCTTCCTGAGTCAATAGTTTAGTATTCAGTTTACCAAATTTTGGTAAATTGTAATTTTGTCAGTCACAGACTTCACTTGGAATGATCATGTCAAATTACCTGTGTTACACATCAACCAACAGAAATGAGGATTGATTTCTACCAGTCTGTGCAGACTCCTGCAATCTGAACATTGCCTAAGAGGATGCCTTAAGCCAGTTCTCCACAGGTAACTTTTCTTATGCTTGTATACCCTGCACCCAAAGTCCCTATTTTACTGGAAGTGATAAAAAGCTATATCTTTTGAATATTTTAACTGTCATTATTCAAGAGGACAAACCAGGAGTACTTAAAGTGCTATATATTTGGTCTAAATTGTTGAAGCTTAATGATAAGTACTTGGAGAGTTCTTCCTATTTTGTGTATTTTTTGAAGGTTTCCACAATAAAATATTTAGAAAAGACAAACATATTTAAAAGTGCTTCATCTTTCCTGGGGAGGAGAATGCACATGGGTTTCTCTTTAGAAGAGCACTTACTAACGAAGGGGTTAGGTGGAATGTACACCTCTTTATTAGGGATGTACCATGGAAAAATCTGAGAAGGGAGGTGTTTTAGATTGAAAAAGTCTCTGTGCCCAAAATTCTGATAAGGTCTCTGAGAAGGGGAATTGCCTCCAGCCTATAGTCCCCCTTCACCAGACCCCTGTGGAAGCCTTGCTGTTTTCAACATAAGAAACATTCAAACCTGTAGAGAATTTCTGTGTTTATTTGAGCCAAACTAATGACAAGTGCCAGGAAGCAAAACCTCAACAAGTTGAGAAACTGTTCCAGAAGATGATAGTTTTGCAGTTTATTTTACACATTACAACCAAAGGAGCAAGGTGTAAGGGGATTACATGAAATCCATTGATGATAGATTAGGAAGGCAGGAGAAAGCCAAGGGAGGAGGTCATCTATGGGGCTGGATAAAAGTAAAATGGTAGACACATGCTTGTTTACATAGGTCAACAATTAATGTGATAACAATAACAATGAGGGTAATTTGTGGTCTCAGGTGCCTGTGCTTTTGAGGGATCTGGAAAAAGGGAAATCACTTTGTTACTGCCTTTGCAGGTATGTTATCCTAGATGCAAAAAAAAAAAAACCCCAAAAAAGCAACACACAACAATCTGGCTCAATTAAGGTAAAGACCTTTGTTAAGGAAAAATACTGCCCTAGGACATGACTACCCATCATGAACTGCTTTTAGTTAGAAAGTTTTTAATTTCATACCATACTATATGGTTACTTTCTGTCACAGTTTGTAAGGCCTGGCCTCCCCTGAGCTTGTTAGGTTAATAAGTGGCCCCTTTTCTTCCACACTGTAGTGAACCACTGATAGTGAAAGAGGTATATCATATTCCTTGGTAGTTGGGGGAGGTTGAAAACCATGGAAACAGGCCTCAATGAATTGGTGAAAACTGTGTTAGTCAGCAGGCAGAGAAATAGGCAAAGAAAACCTGGGGACAAGAAGAAGTTAATAGCGTAACAGGACTTCATTCTCACTCCAGGTGAGTGCTAGAGGGAGCAAACCTGCTGAGGAAGGAAGAGACCAGGAAAAAGAATGTGGCAAAGAGGCCCTCACTTGAGATCTCAAAAGATATTCTTTGAAGGCCTCAGAACCCATCTGATTTGCAGGTTTTAAAACAATAGAAAAGCCATTTTAAGGCAAAGATTGCACACACATGCGTGCACACCACAGTCCTCCATAAAGTACACATTGAAAACTGTCGTTTGATCCTTTTCTGTGATGTTTTTACTTTTTGACTGAGCAAATTGGCATGTTGATACACTGCTGAGAGTGAGAATATATGGTTGGAGAGGTGGAGCATTGCTGAGGGTGTGGGGAACTAGAAGGACATGTTCTTGCAGGGCCCTGAGGTTGAAGTAACATGGTTAGAAACTGGGAATAGAGAAGTGAGCCAGGACAGTTCCTAAAAGGTACAAAGCTGAGATTCACCCAGCAGCTCCCAGGCCAGAGTTGTGGGTAGGATGTCAGACCCAGGGGGATATAGCCAGCTTTCAATAGAGCTGGTCTGTGAAACTTGGCTGAGAGGACAGAGGAAGATTGATGTTTGCTTCAGAGTGAAGCTGTCAGCTGTGCTCACCACCTCACCATGGCCCCAGCTGTAAACAAAAGTCCTGGCCCTTCATGGCACTGTGGAGCAGTCCGGGCTGGTGTAAGTCTCCGAGGACAGATAGACCATTTTTTCATTCAAGCTGACAACCAGAAGATAGAAGAAACAATAGAAGGTGGTTGTGGTGGGAGGCATGCAGGATTGTAAGAGAGTGAGAAGCAGTGACCAGTGAGAAGGAGCTATTGACCTCAAGTCTTAAGACTTTGGGTGTAAGAAGTAGAATCTTTTAGGGAAAGCGACCCCTTTCCTTGTCAGCTTCACAGGTTATCGTGAATTACTAAAGGAGGCCTGCAGGGAATCTGGTGCCTCATTCATTCATTTATTCAATGAGTACCTTACTTATTAATCAGTGCCTGTCATTGTGCTGAGTACCCTGGTGATGCCAAAGTAATCGAAGATAGTTCATAAATTCAAGGAGCTTTTAATGGGTTTGGGTATATGTGTCCAGTTAAGTAACAACACTAAATAGTGTATCTTTAAATGCTAAATGACAAATATGAATTAGGAATCTAGAAACAAGAGAAACTGTATCTGGGTCTGATCAGAAAAGGCAGGATTTCAGAGGGCCTTAGAAAGGTAGACATGATTTGGTTAGGAGTTACGGCATTTGGCATTCTAGGTTGTCACTAAAGCATTAGTGAAAGTGAGAACTGCTTTGGCTAAAGCAAGTTACTGTGCCAGAGACTCTCTTCAACTTCTCACATACTCAAACTTCTCACTGTGGCTGACGCAGCCATCACTTGACTCAGTACCCTTGCTTACTACTGTGTTCCCCTAGTACGTATCACTTTCCCTCTTTTAAACCTCCACCCTTTCACTTAATGACCTGCTCTTGTCTCCCTACAATTTGTTTTCCACGCTGTACTAAGAATGTTCTTAGCACAATGCAAATATGTTATACCACTTCCCTCTTTAAAACTCTCTTATCCCTAATCCCTTCATTCTTTTTTTGCTTCCCTTTATATCCTTCCTGTTTACCTTCCTCTTATTTTTTGTTCAGGTCATATCTTAAATATTTCTGTTTCAGGGAACCCTTGCATAACATCTCCTCCCCCAACTTCTACCACAACTAAGCCAAGTCCCCCTCATATATTTTCATAATACTTCCACATTTTCTCCATTTTACTATTTTCTAATAACTTAGTCCAAATTTGTCTTCCTCACGAGAATATAAGCCCTATAAAGCAGCAGCTGTGTTTGCTCTTCACCATGTTACCCTTGTATTTAGCATAGTACTGGCATATTTTGGTACCTGAGATAAGGCAATATTGGTAGGTGAAAACCAGCCTGAAGAGACTGTTTTTACATCTGTGGGCAGAGAGGATCCTTTAAAAGTTTATGATTATGGGATGAAGAAATCGTTAGACAACACTGATATTTGGAGGGGGGGGGAACAATTCAGTCATAACACAGAGAACTCTAATCTCAGCTTATCTCAAATCCTAGCTTTCCAGTTATGTATGGACTCATGTTCTCTCCTTATCTATTCCTCTCGCCACTCCCCGCCGCCACAAAACACTCATTGATTTTCATAACCAGACAAATTTGACAGTATGGCCAAATGCACTTATTTCCACATATGCAGTTGTTCATTCAGCAGGCATTCATTACCCACCTCCCTCATTTCAAATGTGCTCCTATCCACAGATGAAGATCTTTTTTCCCTGCCTTAATGGAGTTCACAATTGGAAGAACCTCTCTTATTAATCATTCACTTGATGGCTTCACATTTCTGGTGAAAGGCTTTGCCTTATCTGGACTCAATTGGGGAGACTTTGCAAGGCACTAAGAGCCTGCAAATGATCTAGATCTCAGGAGTAGGTTCTCTGTAAAACTGGGAACTCAGTGAGACTCAGAGAATGGATGCTTGTGCTAATCCACTAGACTATTACTCTTCCATGAGGAAGCTAAATGACAGGGTGGAGATTGGAAGGGTGTTCAGGCAGTAGCCATTCCTTAACCTTATGAGCCTTGGCCTAATAAGGTAAATAGGCCTTCAAGGTTCATGCCAGAGTAAAGTAGAATGAAGGAGCTCCAGGAATGACAGGAGCCTAATCTAAATCTAAAAGGAATTAGATTTTCCAGTAAATTTTAAGAACTATCCTGCCCCCTGAGGGGAGGCTGAAACAAAAATGTGGCTCCAAGAAACCTTTCAAAGATAATCAGAGAGCACCCACCCTCATCCTTGGGTAGACATTAATGCCAGGGGATGGTTTCTTTTCATCTTAGATTCAGATCCCAGATGGGTAGGAAGATAGCAGTTGAGGATATCAGAGGCAGCACACCTCTGCCCCCTCCCCAAGGAAGGGTAAAGGGAAGGGTAAAGGGTAATGAGTACTGCAGTCCTAGCTGGTTATCTCTTTGTTAAGGGATAACATCAAACATGGTATCAGTAACACTTTGAAGGTATATTCATTAGTTTTGACCCCCTCTCTCCCCTGAATACTTTACCCTGAACATGAATCCACCACCAGGATATTAGGGAGAAAGATTACCTAATAGCAGATAAGAATGAGATTAATTTTTATGATTAATTGCTCCACTCTGTTAGGCAGCTTTGGGTTAGGAGGGTTCGTACACCTGGGGTTTGAAATCCTGAGAGATGGGACAGGAAGGGTTAACTCCCAAATCAGTAGAGTATATTGATAGTGTTAATGAGAAACCACATTGTGTCCTTCCTTAAAGGAACAACCTGAAGCTTAAGCCAATCAAATTGTGATAACAGCTTCTGTTTCTATTAGGAAAAGGCTAACAAAGTATAAGTCTAAGGGATTCACAAATAAATTCATAAAGGAACTCTGGAGAATTTGAATTTAGAGCTTGACATGACCATTTCACACTTGTAATATCATAACTGTTGCCAAGATTTGAGCTATCATCTTTTATGGGGACTGTGCATATCTAATATGGGCATCAGCCAACAGATTAATATGGCAAAGTTGGGGACTAAATGATCATCACAGGAATAGTTTTCTTAGCTACAGCCTTGAATTTGCCACAACCTTATGTCACAGAAGTCTCAGAAGTGAGCCTTTGTAGCTAATATTATGAGATACTATGGATGGTTTTTCACTTTCTATGTCATTCTTTCCCTTCACAGCTTCAACTAAGTTGTAAAAATAAGGGAGTTACACCTAGGGCCTGGGCTTTACCCAACTTTGTCCTCAGCTTCCACACATTGTCTGATTAGCAGAATAGATTAAAGTATCTGGGAAGGCCCTTCCAGCTCTGTTGAGCAAGGTTTCAGAACTGTAATTGTGACTGTGATTGTGATTGTGATTGTGATTGTAATCCATTGACCCAGTTGCCTTATGGAAATCCCATGAGAGATTAGTTTTGTAAAAGAGCCAATTGTTTGTTTCTCTGTGCAGTCAAAATAGTAAATGTTCTGCTGTGACCAAAGCTCCCAAGCAGTCTTGACCTTGTGATGTGAGGGATTTATAACAATGATTCTCACTGCCTGAAGTAGTTAAGGATTAGTGTTAAATTGTGGACTGAAAAGTCAGCAAGGCATTGTTAGGAACAGTAAGGGGAGGGATGCTAATAGGATTGAAGACTTATGTAGGTTGATAATTTGAAGAGGAACTTCAGATTCCTTTATCATGATAGCACTTCATTTTGGCCTATTCTCAAAAAACAAGGTCTTTCTATAGTATTATCCAAATAATATAGTTGTAATACTCATTGACCTAATAAATGGAGTACCTCTTAAAGTTGTAGATGATGCAGTATTTCTTCAAAATTTTAAAGCAGCAATAAACTCTCCCTTTGTTCCACCCCCACCCCAACCAAAATATTATGGTGAAGTAAACAAATCAGCTTAGAGTTATTCTGCCTGAAGAGTGTGTATAGTGTATGTGTATGTGTATGTCTCAGAGGTGGCTGCCTGTTCTAGGACTCATTGAGGCTGACTTTGAAAATCCCTTGCCCAGTAGATAAGGCATTGAACTGAGAAACAGGAGACTTGGGTTTTGGTTTTGCCACTGTCACTAACTCCTTGTGAGACTTGGATATGTCACTTGGCTCCCATGAACCTCATTGACTCATCTCCTGCATGGATACATGGTTATTTTACTTCTAAGATTTGCTTTGAGGATGACATATCACTTAAGTGCTTTGAAAAGGAAAAGATTACAAGGGTGCTTGTTACCTTCATATTATAGTCTCTCATAACGCAACCCTTGCAAAGTAAATATAGTTGGTGAGAACTAATGCTGTAATTGGGTGGTTAAATTTTTTGAAGAACTACAGTACTCGTCAATTAAAAAATTATGTAGCAAACACTAATTCATTTCATGCTATGAACTTGGTATGGGGAATTCAAAAGTAAATATATTATCATCCTTGACCTCAACTCATGTTTATGTGTTAGGGAAAGAGATGAAAGAACACTATATAATCTTACAAGTACACATACAGAGCTATGTACAGGACATGACTGGAGAACCCAAATTTATCTGGCTATTGGGGTGACAAGGATTTGAGAAAGACTCACAGAAAGTTTAATATCTGGTTAGAGTCTTGACAGATGAGTGGAGTGGAAACAGCCCGAGGAGGGCATTTAAAAGCTAGGGAACAGCATGTTGAAAGTCACTGAGCATTAGACAGGATGAGTTGTTGGGTTCAGGGATGTGTAGGTGGATTACTATCACCAAATGCAGTATGCATTGAGGGGAGCGATGAGAGAAGAAATTGGAGCCACTAGCAGGGGCCAGAGCAGAAAATGTCTTGGAGGTCAATTAAAGGAATGTGGACTTTTTCCTGAAGACAATATGGAGCTATTAAAGGATTTAAAGCAAGGAAGTATCAAAAATAAAGCAAGAAAGTGTCATAAATATAATTATGTTTTAGAAAGGCCAAATTGGCAATAGTAGGGAGGATAGGAAATGAAGCTGGAATCAAAAGCTGAACCCAGATGAGACCAGGGAGGATAGAGAAGGAGGGGCAGATTTCAAAAATATTTGAATGTAGACTCAATAGAATTTGGTGATTGATTTGATCTGAGGGCTGTGGAAGGAGTTGTCAAGGCTGGCTCCCAGTTTTCTGGCCTCGGTGACTGGGTGGGTAGAAGTGCTACTCATCAAGATTGGCAAGATTAGAGGGGGTGGGTGGAGGAGGAGGAGGTTTGAAGGAGGTGATTGTTACTTGCTTGGCTCTAGACATGCTGAGTTTGAGGTACTGTTACCGGAGAAACCCCCAGAAACTCGGTTTTTCTCACCAGTGCAGAAAAGAATTACAGATCAGCAAGTCTATTAGCATGCAAGTGCAAGCAGGGTTTATTGGTGATCTGTTCTCAGAGAATGAAGAGAAGAGAACGGGCCTAGTTGAGGTGGGATAGGGAATGAAAGGCATAGGTTCAGGGCAAAGCAGAATAAGGGCAGCAAAAGTAAGGACAGCCAAGGGCCATGGTGGCAAGTGTGCACATACATGGTCTGAGGCCAGGTGGCCAGAGAGACAGGAGTGCCAAGCCTGAGTCCTTTGTTCTGAAGACTTATATAGTTGGTGGACTGAGGTAAAGAAATTACATATTGATTGACAAGTAAAAGTGGTGCCAACTTTGGGGGTGTGGCATGTTTACCCAAAGGTGTTAATGGGCTTCTGCTTTGGGCACTGTGGGCCCTTTTCCATCTTTCAGGCCTTGGGACAAAAGCACAGTTTCAAAGGCTTTCTTTCCGTGATAGTGGAGACTGATACACACAATTTCAAGAACTGCCCTCCTCCCATGTTAGCATGGTGTTTCCTGTGATGTTGTGACATCTGGCAAGATTGTGGACTGCTGAGTCAGTGGATGAGACATGCCTCCTCCTTCTCCCTGCCTTGGTTTGCTATCTATCCTACCTAACAGTACTTGTAGGATATCCAGGTGGAAATGTTTAACAGAGAATTGGAAAATAGGACTAAAGCTGTGGAGGTTCTGAACTGAAGGTAAAAATTTGAGGATCATATCACAGCCATGGGAAGAGTTGAGAACACACCACACAGTAAGTGCACAAGGAAAGGCGAAAGCCAAAGGTGAAATCCTGGAGAATAAGAGCACCAAGAAACAATGGCCAGACGGGCAAGAGAAGAAACTGGAGAATAAAAACCAAGGGAGAACAGAATTTTAAAGAAGATATGGCAGATCTGACAAATGTTAAAGGAGATTATGAAAGGTTAGGACAGAAAAGTGTTGACTTGATAAAGCAATTAAGGCATTGTGAGGAACATGGGAAAAGCATTTTCAGGAGGGGGCTAGGGAGAAGGCAGAGAATAGATTACATTGTGTTGAGGAGTTAAATGGTAGTCAAGATGCAGAAATGTGTATTAAGATTATCTCTTTTAAGAAACTTGGTGATAAATGGAAGGAGAGCAATAAATCAATAGCTACAGAGAAATTCATGGTCAAATGGAGGGTGGTTTTTATTCTCATTTTGTGTGAGAGAGAACTTTCCCTCTTTCCCTGCCCTTTTCATTCCCAATCCTGTCTGTTCCTCCTGCTGCTTTCTCCCCTCCCCTCCTCTCCCTTCTCCCTCCCTCCCTCCCTCCCTCCCTTCCTTCCTTCCTTCCTTCCTTCCCCCTCCTCCTCCCTCCTCCTCTTTCTTCCTTCTTCTTCCTTCTCCTCCTCCTCCCCCTCCTCCTTCCCCTGCCCCTCCCCCTCCCCCCTCCTCCTCCTCCTTCTCCTTCTTCTTCTCTCTCTCTCTCTCTCTCACATGAGGCTCACAGAGATTAAGCAATATGTCATGGAATATGTCATGGTTACATAGTTTGTAAGCATGTTGTACACCAGCAGGTAGAATCCAGTCACTGGCAATGGAGACACTGAAAATATAAAAGTGTGAACTCAGCAAGATGAGACATACAAAATGGAAATTTGAAGTTCTAACCAGGCCCATGTGCAAGAAATTTGACAGATGTAGAAGAGATACTGTGATGACATGGTCTGGTCATATAATAGCTAATCTGAGTACTTACTGTACTAAGTACTTACAGTGTGCTAAGCACTGAGTTAAGCACTTTACCTACATATTCTCATTTAATTCCCACAACAATCTTATGAGGTAGGTACTGCTATCACCTTCACTTAACATATGTGAAAAAATAAATACAGAAAGGTTCAATGATTTGCTCAAGGTCACATGCTGTATTTTGCTGTGTATAATGTGCACCCATGTTTTTGGCCCAAACTTCCAGGAAAAAAATTTTTCATTTTAATTTTTTACTTCAATTTATTTATTTATTTATTCATATTTAGATAATTGTTTTTTGTACTATAAAGGGTATTATTTTGCATACAGATGTCATTGCTTTCTAGAGTTACACTTTTAATGCAAAGGCATAAATAAGAGTTAAAGACATTTATGTAGATATGGAATCAGTACCACCCATGTATATTGTGCATCTATATTTTCCCTCTAAAGTTTGGACAAAAAAGTGCACATCATACATGGCAAAATACAGTAGTTATTGTGTGCTAGATCCTTCAGAGCCTTCAAATGACCCTTTAGAGGAGGAAACAGGCTGAAGGAGGTAAAGTCATTTGTCCAATAACCCATATCCAGTGGGTGATAGGCAAATACAGGCTCCGTTTGGTACAGAAGCCACCCTCTTAATCACTACATTTTCATGAATAGAAACTATTAAAATAGAGAATATGTGCATATTTTTTCTAGATCCAGCTCTGTGAGGCAAAGCATTACCTGGGCTTAAGTGATAGTAAGAATTGCCCTTGTTTTAGGGAGTTGATAATGAGAGCATGTACTTTCTTGTTAATGCACCACCCAGTATAATGCAGCCAGGGCATTTGTAGAAAGCCACATGGTGAAAGCAGAGACTGAGAAAAACAGTACTCAAGTGGGATGACAATAGCTGAATTCTCATGTGTCTTTTTCAGGTGACTTCATGACAGCAGCCATACTTCATTCTTCTATTGAGAAAATGTTCTGTGAGTGAGAAAGCCCCTGATTCAGCTGTCCTTCCTCCCTGTGGTCTACGATTTTCTAAAATGCTGTTTTGATGTCTTCAGTCCAAGTTTGTAGACTTGTAAATGTTATACTATGTGTGAAGTATAATGGAGCAAGGACTGTGAGGCTGGAAAGAATGGCCTAATTGCCATCCTTTCAGGGATGATTGGCTCTCCCTGTGGAACAGGGAGAGGCAGATGATTGTACTGCCAAAAACCCCTCAACTTTATTTACTCTCTTGTCACTGCCAGAGTTTTCATTTGGTGATTGGTTTTTGAAATATAACTTGATACTAGTCTTCATATTTGGAATATGATTAATGCTTAATCAGATCATTATCATTCTTTGTTCAGCAATGTAATTTACTGTGTTTTGATGTCTTTTTAACTTTGGTTTTGTTATACCCAACGACCAGCCTGTGCATGTGTGTGCATGCTGTCTGATGTTATCAGTTTCCTCCCAAGTCCATTTTCCTGTGACCAATGGGTGAATGGAAAGAGAATAAATAGAAATATGGTATACAATAAACTATGTGAGAATCCATGCTTTTATTCTACATATACATATGCTATGTATCAGGAATTGTGTGGATTAAAAAGTTGTATAAGATGCAATCTCTGCTCTCAAAGGGTTGATTCTGCATTTCTTCCACTCAGCAAACAATTATACTACTTGGGTTCCTAATCCCTTGTTGGTTCTCATGCTTAGCTGTTTTTGTCTTTCATCAGCAGAGCAGCCTGGGAAGAACTTTAATCCCAACAAAGTGAATTTGAATTTAAGATTTTGACAACCAGAAATGATAAGATAATAATAATATTACAACACTGATAATAGCACATTGAAAATGGAGAGGCACATGGAGGCACATATAAAGATTCTCAGGAGGTGATATGTTCTGGATAAAGTTGAGATATTTGCATGGCTCAGTGGAAAGGAAAAAGAACTTCGGGAGTCAACATTTCAACTACAAGAGTATCAGTTCTTTGGTGATAGCTGAGGAAAGAGGCTTATTGTAGAAAGTAAAACAAATAAATTTTATTTCCTACCTTTCTTCCACACAGAAAACTCTGTTTGATTTGACTATGAATTCTAGGAGAGCCAGAAACCCTGCTAGTGGATTGAGGGATGAGAGGAAGACAAACAACTGCTTTTTCAAACAGAGCAAACTGAAGAAATGATAGAGGCACTGATAATCTCAACAGCTGAATAAATAAAGCCCTTTCTCTGGAAAAATATATGTATAAAGTATTTAATTGGCATTAAATATTAATAATGAATCAACAAAAACACTCAAAACACTTTATTTCTGTAGGAATTCTTTTCCTATTAGAAAATATACAGTTTTAAAACTCAAAATCACTTCATATGTGACTCAGGCAGAAAGAAGTGTGGGTCTCTGGAGGGACAAGTACTATAAGAATCAGGGTTAATGGAGTGACCTCCAAGTGGGTCTCCTATCACCTCATGCCAACTCATTGTGGTGAGAAGGGTCCAAGTTCAAGAACTTCATGATTAAATGAATTTACAGGTGACAGACATTTCCAGTGGGACCCAGTGTTCCTCCCCTCCCCAGTACATGTACAGGAAAGGTGAGGAAAATGAAAGCCAATTGTATCTGACTCTGACACCATATGTCTCCCTTCTAAACTCGGGTGCTCTGATAGGGAGGGAGAGTACCTGCCACATGGCATTGCCTCTGAGTAGCTTTGTGAACTCCTTTGGACTATTATGTTGGCTGGTACTTTGGCTTCTTTGGCTCCCAGCACCAGCTGATGCCCAGAGATGAGTCCCAGTTGGGAAGGCCCTATTGCTCAGTGCTGTAGTTGTCTCCAGGCCATTGTTCTTGAGACTTCCAACAGGGCAGTTTTGTGCAGTTGGCCCATCTGGACAAGATCTATAACAAGTAGAGCTCTGTGAAATAAGCTCATCTCCATAGTCCATCCCCCGCTACCCCCACTGTCGGGCTGCAGCAGCCTGACACCCCAGCCCTGACAGAGAGAATATCAAAGAGATACTCTCTGCTTCTTTCAAAAGGGTATTGCTTGTGGCTTCTCATTGATTGGCACTACCTGGGCAGAAGTTGGAAAACAGGGACTCTCTGCCCCTTAATTAAATCTCTTCCCTTAAGCCAACCCTTTAGTTTTGAATCTCCTTGGCACCAGAATCATTATTAATATGGTCAATAAGATTAACTTCTGGTCCAGCTACCCTGGTCAGCCCAGAATGTTCTTTTCAAAGTCAAGACATGAACAAGAGGGGTATCTCAGTGAATAGGAAAACCAGACAAGATCAATAGGAAAAAGGGATGAAAAAGCTGAGTTCTTGGTTTGAATATAGGATTTTCTCTAGTCACTAGATTTATTGACTTTAAATTTGGAACAGTTTTGAGGAAGATAGGAAGGGAGAAAGGAATGGGAGGGATCAAGAGAGGGGGGAATGGAGGGAGGGAGAAAGGAGGGTGGAGAAAGAGAGAGATTGGACTTACACAGTTATTCTAAGTCCAGGAAAAAAGTCAAGATGTTTAAAGGTCATTTGATCACCTCTTCCTTCCAGCTGTTAGCCATGCATTTGAATCTTCCCTTTTTCAGTTCCTCACAGTTGGGTCATTTCAAAGGACTCAGTGTACCAGGTCCCTGCTTCCCCATGTCCATGTGTTATGTTAGGCCTGAAATGGACTCTTCCACAGCCTCTATTCTGACATTTCTGGTGTCTTCAAATGACTGTTACACCTTCTCACTGTAGAAAGACAAATAAAACACAAGAAAGGTTAAATAATTCCAACTCATGGCTCTAACTTCTATTACTACCTTGAGGTGAATGTTTGTCCAGAGTAGGGGTCCCTTGTCTGCCTAGTTCTTCCCAGGTGCCTCAAAGCCCACTTTATCCTGCACAAGGTTGCATGATACAATTATTTGCTTACTAGAAAGAGGTGAAAGACAAAGTTGTAAATGAGGGATCCTGGGATATAGAGACTTTTGAGAAAAGGAAACCAAAGCCAACAAAAGACTCTCTGATGATAGTTTCTGTATTCTTCTCCTCCTGGGTCCTACTACCTTGGATTTCACTTTTCTTGAATATTTCATAGCATCATCAAGTTCCTTGAAGAGTAAGCATTTTTTTTTCTTTTTATATTCTCCAACAGGTAAACATACCCTGTCACCATGCTAGTTAGTTAGGTAATAAAACCCATTCTGAGACTAGGAAGTTCAGGTTGGTCTGAGAGGGTGGTCTTTCTAAGTTCAAAATTCCTGACCCTCTTCTGACAGTGTTGAGCCTCTTAGAAGACCTGAAGACCTCTGTTGGGTTGTATAGCAATGTCCTACTCCAATGCAGCCCATGACTATTTCAGCCTTGCTGAGAGGTGGGGAACCTGCCATCTTGCCTTCCTACCACAGTCAAGGAACCTGACTGGGTCACACAGGGCAGCACCTGTGGATGGGAAATACTCCTTATTTAAGCCTGTGGTAGGAGGGACAGAGGGCACTGTAAAGGCCAGGCTCTAGGTGGGAGGTGGCAGGGCGAAGAGTGGTGCAGATTAAGATGACAAATGCCAGAATCTAGTAGCAGTGGTCTGAATAGTCTCCATTGGAGAAATGGAAAACAGACTCCAGCAAGGGAAGAAGGCCATCCTGGCCCCTTGAACATAGTCAAACCTTACTCTCATTAGAAAAGGAATAGATAGCATGGAGAAAATCTGGATAAGGGTAGACAAACCATCTTGTGCAGCCACTATTGGCATTATGTAGTGTAGAACCACATAGTTTTGGGATCAGCTGATGAAGTTCTGAGTGGGAGATCAGGAAGGAACTATTTAATTTCCCAGTGAAATCTAATGGAGGGGGGAAGCCCACCCAGAAGGAAGTAAGAAGCCAACAGCTGAACTCTGTAGCTCCAACCTTATTCAGAGTACCTGGTGAATATCTTCTGACATAGCACTTTATAGACAATCCAGTAGAAGATGTTGAAGGTGAGGAAAGTGAAAGGGAAGACAAACCGAGAGATGGTGTTAATCCTCTTGACTTGGTCCACATAGAGTTCCCTTATGGCTTCTCTCTGCCTTTAGAAGAGGGGATGGTGGCTGGGGGCTGTAAATGCCAGAACTTTCCATTAGACCTTCATACCTTGCCTGCAGGCAGTGGCCTGGGCCATATCCACAAAAACAGAAGTGACTCTCTTGGATGATATCTTCCTCCTGGAATTACATGGAGGAAAAGGCAGAATTTGAAGTCATAGTTTTAAGGTAGAAGGATAGAGACCAGGCCACACAAATATCTCATAGGTGAGGCTATATAGATGAGGTGTCTGGGTACAAGTGCCTTTTGCATGCATTTTTATGGCCACAAAACTACTCATGAGTTACATGTATGCTAATTAGCTATATATGATATGTATGGTATATTACAATTCCATTTCCATTTGCAGATAAGCCCCAAACTGCTTTTTTAAAATGCAAAACATCACTTAGAGCTATCTAAAACCCAATGAAGTGCCAAACCATTCTTGGAGGAACATTTCAATGTCAAGTTATCTCTGACTGATAATAAATAGAATAAACAGAACAATGAAACCTTTAGAAAGGCACAGCTGAGGTCTTTAGACTTGATGAGCTTGAATTCAATGACTTTCAAGAGCTTCAGAATTAATTCTTTATGTACATGGTATCCTTTAAATAATTATTTTTCTTGACTCAAAGCTGAAAATTCCCAAAGTTTTAAATAATGGAGTGGATTATCCAAATTAGGGTAAAAATAATTACTCTATTGCAGATACCTGTGTTTTTCTGCAAATCAGCTGATTTCAACATAGGGGTCAGTATATCTAGGACAGGGGTGTCAAACTCATTTTCACCAGGGGCCACATCAGCCTCATGGTTGCCTTCAAAGAGCAAAAATAATTTTTGTCCCAAAATAATTTTAGGACTGTATAAATGTAACTATTTAACTGTTAAGGAGTTGAAATTACATTCGGCCCTTTGAAGGCAGCCGTGAGGCTGACGTGGGCCCCAGTGAAAAGAAGTTTGACACTCTTGATCTAGGGTAACATTTGTTACCCAATACACATTTCCTTTTATCTATGCTGCATGCATTGTGGAAGTAAATTTTATATAAGCACTAAGGAATGTAGTAGATTATGAAAAATTTATTTATTTAATTGTCAGCTGACAACTTTAAGTAGCTATAACACAGCTGAGAACCAGGAAGTAAGGACAGAAGTATAAAGTTGGTGGGGGGAGAGACCTTCTGAGTGATTAATAGAGTTTTATTCATATATAAGAGCCCTTTAGGTCACCACTCATATCCTATTTACTCAGTTTATATACAACTCAAACATGCCTAAATCTGTCTACTTCTAAAGGACACACAGCCTCACAACTTGGAAATTAGCAGAAGACAAGTAAATATATGCCAGAACCTAGAAATACTTCATTCAAAGATGATTACACTTTTTAAGAGTATTAATGTTTATAAGAATAAAACCTTCAGCTATCTAAGAAATCACCTGAAGTGAAATGCCCCCTTAAGAGATGATGCCAACTATCTTCTTGGTTTTCCCAGGAATAAAGAAGGCGTCCTGAGACTAGGGACTTTCAGTGCTGAAACAGAACAAGACATATGCACATTGAATGAATGTGACATAGATAAACATAAAATGTGAATAAAGTGGATTTTTATACGTGCTGTGCAGTTAGAAAAACATTATAGGATCTTTATAATGGGGCCTCTGCAGCTGTGGTAACACATTGTAAAGTGGCTTCACAGATAAGATGATCTGGTGGGTCCCAGTGCCCTATGATTATTACATCACTAGAAGGTCTAGCCTATCACCAGGCATCAGGGGAAGGCAAGCTCAGGCCAGAGATTCAATAACAGATCCTAACTCTTTTCCTGCTTCTACTGGGCTCATGGTAAAAATTTGGGAAAGAACATTGGTCTTGTTCACTGCTCTGTCCCGAGTGCCTGGCACAGGATCTGGCATCTAATAGACAACCAGTGGATATCAGTTGAATAAATGAATGGTCTCTTGCCCTGGCTGGTGCGGGTCAGTGTATTGAGTGCCAGTCTGCAAACCAAAAGGCCAATTTGATTCCCAGTCAGGGTACATGCCTAGGTTGCGGGCCAGGTCCCCAGTTAGGGGCATGTGAGAGGCAACCAATCAATGTATCTCTAGTACATTGATGTTTCCCTCCCTCTGTTTCTCCTTCCCTTCCACTCCCTCTCAAAAATAAATAAAATCTTTAAAAAAAAATAAATGGTCTGATGAGCCACATGCTTCAGAATATAGGACAGGGAATGGCTTTTTTACATGAAGCTAGTATTCTCTCAAGAGCTCAAACTGAAGAATCTGACTTTGGAACTGATTCTTCAGGAAAAACAGTAACTTGGCAGAAAAAACAATTACTTCTTGTCCCACTCTGGCACAATGTCCTGATGAAAGAGTGGTACCTTTGGCATAGGGAAGAATCTCTCTTAAGTCTGCCCAGCAGAGAGCTTTGCTCCTTGATTTTGCTAAATTTTGTGGAGGTAGTTGTATGTATGTAGGACAGAGGCAATTCACAATTGTAGTTGTTCTTTGACCCTCAGTTGTTGTAGTGGGGCAGCCTTAGCTGTCCGCTCAAAGTTATTTACATAACCTCAGTTACCAAAGTTCCTGGCTCATCTCACCTTTATTTTCAAATTCATTTCCACATTATTCCTACATGAGAGATTGTGCTGAACCCATTTTAGAAATGAAGAACCAGAGGCAAACAAAATATCTTCCAAGTAATTGAAAAATAAGCGGGTAAATAAAATGATTTTCTATTTTGCTTTCTAGTTCAGGTCCCTCAGATTTCCCATTCCCCACTGTTCATCTTGATCCCCTCAGCTAGAGGATACAAGCACAAAATATATTTGTTTGCAAAAAGCTCTGAAAGAGGAAGTTAAATACAACTGCTGTTTGTGCTCCTATAGGTCTAATTCTTTCCCTTTTATCCAATCACAATAAATCTAAAGATAATTATTTGGAAGTATTTCCCAGGCTGAAAAAATGCTATTTACACAGGAGAAAAAAATGTGGCTAATAGAGTAAGGTGCTTATGGCCTACATTTTTTTAATGCATTGTACCATTTGTAGTTGGGAGAGCAAAGAGGAGTGGCCTGAAATCTAAGGGGTCCTGGACTTGGGTATTAGATATTTAGGCCAAATTTTGAGGGTGGGTGTGTGTGTGTGTGTGTGTGTGTGTAAGGACAATGGAGATTTAAACACCATATTATGGCTTCCATGGTTGTTGAGATAGAACATTTTTGCTGTAGCTCTATATAAGGGAGGAAGTGTGGGGAACTAGAGAGGGAAGATATTCCAAAACCAAGCTGTGGAGGGAATGCACAGTGTGGGAGGTGAGGTGTGGAGATGGAAAGAGTGATAGGTATTAAATAATAGGTAATGAAATGAAGAGATTGGAGAATGGAGGAGGGTGCTAGGCAAGCAGCATTCTGGGGCCAAACCCCTGAGAGGCAGTATTTTGAAATTTCTTCCATTTCTCAAAGTATTCTATTGATAATGTCAAGGCTTTCTCTCTGCCCAGCTTGAAAGAGAGCCCTCACCAGTCAGCCTGCCAAGGTTGGTGAACTGGGTTTTGTGGTGCCATGTCCAGAGTTTGGTGCTAGGGCCCATTGAGGTTATAAAAACAAGAGAGACAGACCCTTCCCTGTGACACTTAGATGAGCTGTGAAGACAAATCATAAATATATGGGGGAAAAGGTAAACTACTTCAGAAAGTTACATGGAAGAAGACTACAATGCAGTGAAGACATGTAGTTGAGGAGAGTCTAGAGAAAAACAGTGTTAAGCCTGGATCCAGCTGAACAAGGGGCAGGCTCCTAGAACACTACTAACTTGCATTTGGCTAAGGGTTCCCTGAAAAGCATATGGATTATCTTCCCTCCCTTAAAAGGGCTCCTCCCAAACTAAAGACTGCTGCTTCTCCCACAGAGCCCAGAGACAGGTTTTTGAAATGGATTAACTCTGCATCAACTTTTCCAGCCTGCTCAGTGGCTTCCAAGATCCCTGCTACCACTCCACTGGGATAGCAATGGCTTTAGGAAACTCTAAGTGGGACATGGACTAATGATACTGGTTTGGATTTTCAGGTTTTATTTACATTAATAAGAAGCCCAGCTCACTTTCAGGCAGGATCCAGGAGCCTAAGCAGGGCCCAGGCTGCTGTTACAATTTTGTCATAATTCAGCATTGATTATGACAATCTCCATTATGAGATCAGGATCAAACTATATACAACAAGTGGGGACGGGTAGGCTGTGGGCAGTTGGGAGAGGGAAAGGTGCAGGGGAGGTGGTGGCGCTACTGGCAATTTGGAGTAGCTCTACATTAGCTGCTGCAGTCTTCTGTTGCTGGGACACCCACACAGTCAATTTAGCTGGCAAAAGGACTCTGGAACTGTTCATCAGCCTGCTCTTTTTTTCCAAGGTAGGCATTGAGAAGGCATCAAGGTAAAGGTAAGATTTGGGTACCTGCAGGCAGGTTTAACATAGATAAAGAAGGGGTAGGGACAGTTAGTTTAGAAAAGAATGCATCCTCTTGCCCTTGTGCCAAGTCTGTATATTTTTTCTATACATCAACATGGGATAACAAGGGCTGAAATGAGTAGGTCTATTGAAGAATGGGTCCTATTTAAGGAGATGCAGTTATGGATCATTTCCACTAGAGGAAGAACTTACCAGGGCCCAACTAAAGGATTAAAGCCAGGCAAGAATTGTCCTCAAAACCACGAATGAGACAGGAGCCTTACTCTCAGCAGAAAGGGATCTTAGCAAGAGACAGTTTGCAAGATATTTTTAGTACAGACATATGGCAGAGGTAATTCAGCAGCAGCTGAGGTGGGAGGTGGGGTGTTAGGAGAAAAAGAGCGTTAGTGTTAGAGTGTCCCCAAATAGGGGTCTCAGATCATCATTTTTCTCCCCTGCCCTTTTTCACATACCCCAGATATCACATGCGTTTGTCCCTTTAGCTTTAAGGCCTCTATATTAGGCATAAAGCAAGGAGTCAGAGCTCAAGACACACCAGAACTCTGTCTTGTGATTAAGAGGCCAGTGTACAGCTCAGCAAAGTTTTGCTCATAATTAGACACTTGTTTCTGTGAAAGTGGCCCAGGCACCTCTGTTGTCATGACAACGTACCCAGCACTATTGTCTGGGAAATAGGGGTAAACTGCCTCCATTGTCATGACTACAAGATCCCTGCTCAATTTCCCCAGGTGATCACTCTATTGTAGAAGAAATGGGGTGAACAAATAAGAGTGAGGGAGAACAAGTCACACCCAACACCTCTGATGCGCCCAGTGAATATCAAGGCAAAGAAATCCAACAGTTGGAAGAGGAAAGGGATGGTTTTTCAATTCCAGCTTAGCTATGGGGACCCTTTTATAAGGCTCCCCTATAAAGAGACCAATGCTGACTCTTGAATTCTTAATCAGTATATGACAACCTGGGATACCTTTCTCCTAGGTAGGGGGAGAACCAGGAGCAATCACCACTAATTCTCAAAGCAATCTCATATTGACTAACAAGATAATGTTCTAATACTGGCTAACATTTTTTTTTCAGTTCTTATGTTCCAAGCTCTGTGCCCATGCTCTAAGGACCTAGTAGACTTCCCTGTATGGATTAGGGTTCCAATGAAAGATTAAGAAAATGGAATCAAAGGGGTTAAAGTACTTATCTGTGACCATCCTGGGACTAGAATCCAGGGTTACTGATTGCCTGTCAAGTGCTTGCAACTCTAGGTTTGACCTTGATTTGTGGCAAGAGTGGCAGGGAGAAAGGAGTCCTGAAGAGGAAGGAAGTGGTCCCCTCTTTAGTTATACACACCACGTGCTGGTGCCTCTGCTTTGAATTCCTTATGCTGACAGGAAACAAAATTCACAGCAGGATACTCCAGCAGGGCAGCAAACATGAAAAGCAGGTACACAGCCATCCAGATGTCGATTGCCTTCACGTAGGATACCTGCAATATCTATCAAAAGAGCAGTTAACCTTCCTGGAGTCCTCCCATGGCCTATCCAGTGAGTTGTCAACCCTTACCAACTGCCTGTTCTTCAATTTTATCCTGAATTTCATTTTTTTTAAAGAAGCTTTCCATGATATTTCTAATTGTCTGAAGTCCCATGTCAAAGAGATAATCTTTCATCTCTTTGCACTGTCCACCCTCCACTTTCATCTGCCTTTCTTCCCTACACTTCTTTTTCTTTCTTTCTTTTTTCTTTTGTACTTTTGCTTCTGACTCTGCTTCTTATTATTCTTTTCATTCTTATCTTCTTCTGATTCTTTTCTCCAATAAATATCAACGAATGTGAACTCTGCATCTGTTGGCCCTGTTAATCTCCTAGGGTTCGCACAGCCACAGTGGTAATTGGACAGGGTTTGTTATGCCCATATGAGACATGTGAGGACACCTGAAGCCTAGAGAGAAAGTCTTAGGCAAGATTACCCAGTGAGAAGATGTAATCTTGGAATTGGGGGTTCTGAGCTGCAGTCTCAACATCAGACTAGGAGTTTCTTCCTTTCCCTCCCCCATCCCTATTCTTCCCTTGACCCCATGGTTTTTCCTGCTGCTCTTTGTGAGAGGCCCTGCTGAAGAACTGAGCTTTGTGGTGAGCTGGGCCTCATCTCCCACAATGGAGAGCAGAACAGAGAAGGGATCCCAAGGGAGTGTTACCCACCCCTGGCTATGGAAACTTCTCTAATTTCTAGGTACCCTTGGTATGACCTATCCAGTCCCTATTGCTGTCCTCTCACTACCTGCCTTGGTAGCCCTTAAGTACTTTTCTCCCTCATTTTCCTTGTGAATATTGGACACTCACTTCTCCTGGAACAGGGTTGTGGCTGGGTGGAGCCAAGAGAGGGTTTAGAACTCAGGTTTATGAAGTCCTTTAACCTCCTTAACTAGATCGACTCCCTACATAGTTTTAAGTTGCTAAACTCACCCTAGAGGGCTCCCCAGCAGGAGCAGAATTGATGACAGACAACCAGTTTCACAAGCTTTTGCTATGTTGGACAGTGAAGATGCTGCAGACTTCAGGTAAGGAGCAGTTCTCACTGGATAAACCTTCCCCCTGCGTGGTTCTTACCCTAGGAAAACCCCTCCCCCCAAGGGCATTTGGCAATATTTGGAGACAATTTTGTTTGCACAATTTTTGGGGGTGGTGGTGGCTACTAGTATCTAGTGGGTAGAAGCTAGGGACACTGCTAAACATCCTACAATGCACAGGACCCACCTCTAACCCCCATCCCTTCTCACACATACAACAGGAATTATCAGGCCCAAAATGGCAACAGTGCTAAGGTGGATGAAACCCTGCACTCTCTTTTAGGGGAATTCCACTGAGGTGGGTGGTGGTGATGGGTTGCTATGCAACCCTGATTAAGCATCCTTTGGTGTTTCCATTTTGCCACCTACTACTAAGAGGGCATCCTATTTCATTCACCATCTCCCAGTCCCACTGTGTCCCCAGGGATGTCTGGTAACTTCTATAAAGTTTAACAATGAGGTAATGACAAGGGAGGTCCATAAAGGGCTTTGGTCCATCAAAAGAAAAGTACACCATAAGCAGCAGGAAGAAAGTCTTGTTAACAATGAGTGTGTTAATAATAAATCAAATATCTCTGGAATCCATCCATTCAACTATCCTAACGCATCTGAAGGACTGCAAAAGTTTCCTAAGTGGTCTCCCTGTATCTATACTTGACACCTCCAATCTGTTCTCAAAATGGTAGTCATAGTTTTGTTTTCAAAATGTAAATGTGATCATATCACTCCCCTGCTACCAAGCCTTTATTGGTTCTCCAGTAGTACCCTTATAGTACAGTCTATACCCCCCTTAGCATGCCTACTCCTTCAGCCTCATCCCACCTCCCACCCCTTGGAATCTATGACCCTGCCATGATGAACTATTATTTCAGTAGTCTCCTAAGGAGACAATCTCTCTGTGTCTCTCTCCTTTACCTGTATAACTTTTACTGTTCACATTGGATATCACATCCTCTAGGAAGCCTTCCATAATCATTCTAGCCTGGGTTTGTTGCCTCTGTTATATGTGCCCAGGTTACCTGCAATTTCTTAGTATCCATCAAATACAATTGGCCATTTTCTTCACTAGACTGTGAGTGCTCGGATGGTAGGAATGGTTCCTATTGTGTCCACTGTTAAATCCCCAGTGCCTAGCTGAGCACCTGGCACATAGTAAATATTTTTTGAATGGATGGATGTTTGGATGAATGAATGCGTGAGTGGATGGATGGATGGCTTAGCAATGTATCTGTCTCTTCTGGCTTCTGTTTCCTCTTTTTGCCCTCCTCACTACTACTAAGAACTATGGAGCATTTAGATTGCAGTATCTCAAGAGAAATGACAGATTAGGTCTAATCTATCAGTCTCTGGTAGAAAGTTCCATTTAGTTCTTCCATTTTGCATGGAGCCACCTGCAGTTGTATAGATCAAGAATGGCAGAGAGACAGAGATCATTGCATTTGGACGACCCCATAATGGCAAAGAAAAAGATGTAATTTATTGAACCTCTGCCTTATTAGTGTATATTTACAACAATTCCATGTTTTTGCTAGTATAAACAGTGACACAGCAGACTTCTTGGGGTCTAAAGTCAATATGATACTTTAGAATATTTTCTTTTAATAAATTCCAAGGAGTGGGGATACCTGGATCAGCAGGGTTATGATATTTTATTGAGTTGTACACTTGAAACCTATATGGTTTTGTGAACCAATGTCACTTCAATACATTTAATTTAAAAAACTCTCAAAACATGCCCCCCCCGTACCACCTTCATCAGAATCCTCAGTATGGTTGTTTAAATGCAGATCAGAATCTCTGAGAGGGAGAGCCCAGTAATCAACATTTTAATAGGTTCCCAGGGGACTATATATGTATTGCCAGGGTTTCTTTCCCCAGTGAAGGTTATACCAATTTCCACTCCTACCAGTGTTTTTTAAATTCAATGGCCTATTCTCCTCACTCCCTGTACCCCCACATACATAACCACACATACTCATAGGGTGGCACCCAAAGCACATTAGCGCACCATAGGAGGTACCTAGGATATCTTCTCTTCATCCTGTGTCCTCTACCTCAGGATCATAACTCTTGGCTGCCAAATTGCCAGTGTAAATGAGGCAGTATCAGGGTACAGATGCTCTGGGCAGCCCCCCTTTACTTCCTGGCCCATATTTCACACCTGGGAAGACAAACCATTTCACAAGAGTTGGGCAGTGGTGGCAGCAGTAGGAGGTGTGGACAAGAAGTCACCAGTGCCCTGAGGCCTATTCCGTCCTGGTTCAGTGCAGCCATTGACTTCTCCCAGATGTAGATTCCCTACCTTCCCACAAAGTTGGCCCCAAGACAGGTGGAACATTCCTTTTACTCAGTGGCACAGGACCATTTATTCTGCAGCATATGACAGGGATAAGAATACAGGCTTTGGAATTAGACCAATCTGAATTTGAATTCTAAATCAGCCATTTAAAACCTCAGATTTCCTTTTCTGGAAAATGGGACTGATAACCCCTACCATAATGAGATGAGGAATATGAACCACTTAACACCACATCTGACACACAGAGGCTTGCTGCTTGCCCCCTACTCTCTCATATGGAGGTCCTCCTATGACTCAAAGAGAATAAAGACCCTGGGTTTTTACCTGTGTTGTGTAGTACTTGGTAAAATAGCCTAGATCCTTTTCATCTCACAAGATAAACTGGTGTAGAGTCAGCCCCTCAGCCACTTGTACAGTGGGATCATCTTCCAGCCACTCAAACATGAGGCCATTTATGGTATAGCCAACTGAAAGTGACAGAGATGGCAGAAGGCTAGAGTGTGGGTGTTGGATAGAGGTAGGATGAGGGTTAGAACTGGCAGAAAGAACAGATGAGTAAGACCTGGGTTTTAAGAGCTCCCTGCTCATCTTGGAAAGGGAAACATTTCTGAAGAGGGTACTTGGTCAATTGTCTCACAGGCCCACCATAAAGGGGCAAATCAGAAAGATTTCCAGACTCCTTTCCTACCTCATTTTGAAACTTTAGAGAGACCCAAAGAGAAATTATTCTGGCAGACTAGAAAGGTCAAAAAGGTTGAAAAGATGTCAAGGAACCCAGCTGGGAACCTCCTGCATATTTCAAATCCAGGAGAGTAAGCATGTGTACCAAGCACATGTCTAAAGCTGAGCCAACCTCAGAACCAGGGCTTCTGCTAACTCACCCTAGGGAGGAGAGAGCTATTTATACCATGCTAGTCATGTGTGGGATAATGTGTATACCACAGACTCATAGCCAGGACCCTGAACTGGGGAAAATTGAGAGCTAACACCTGAACATGTCAGGTTGCTCATAGAGAGCTAGAAGTTTGTGAGGGCTCCTACCACATCTATGACCATATTCACACCTGTCAGGTAGAAATGGGAGCAGAAACACCAAGGCTCACAGATGTCCAGAGTAGAGCTAGAGTAGCAGTATGACATTGGGCAAATCACTTCCTTTTCTGTAAAATGCTCCACCTACTTTTAAAAGTTGTTATAAGAGGGTAATAAGAACCTGGTCATGAAAGTGGCTTATGAACTGTAGAGAGCTGACTGTATATGGTACATTCTAGCAATCAAAAGTATTACATGTTGGAAACAGCTTAGTGAGCCTTCTTCTCTGAAGACCAAGTGGATGTCTCCTGATCTCACCGTGTCACCACACTCAGGAGATGGCAAAGGGGTGGACATAGGTGATGACTCAACCTTGTCATCCTTTCACTTCTCTACACTTGGTGCAGCCCCTGTAGGCTGGAATCTTTGCCGTAGAATAACCCTGGGCTGATTTAGCCACTCTGGGCACTGATCTATGTCTAAAACTGTCCTTGTCCACCTCTCTACAAGTTATCTGTGTTCATGAGGAATCAAGGTTCAAAGAGTACTCCATCCCTGCTAACTCTGGCGGTTTTATGGTCATCTTGAATGTCTTAACTCAGGGGAAGTTGAGGTAGAAACACTTAAGGCACTGTGAGAGGGAACACATCTTTGGGCAGAGGAAGTGTCCCTAAAATGACCCCCCCACAACCAGCACAATCAAATTTGTATGTAAGGCAGGGGTCTTCCCATTCTCCAGCCCCATGGAACAGCCAGGTCAGCAAATTGTGTGGGGATGGGAAAATAACACTGTGTTGGGTATTAGCAAGTGCTGGCTTTTAGTTTCATTTGTGCCAAGGAATGTGAGTGCTTAGTGATATCCCTTCCTGGTCTGGGATGCCCTTTACCTGTCTGGAATATCTC